AAAAATGTTAGAATTGTGTCTATGTCCCAATATTTATGGACCTGACTGTATATATTAATTTTTAATCTTTGGATTTTTTTATTCTGTACCTTTTTAACCCCATCAACATTTCTCCACATAGCTTCTTCCTTTTTCTTTTTTTGCATTTTTAACTGTTCAATTCTCATTTTCCAATGTATTTGTATTTTTACTTATTTCTATTTTTATTTAATTTTATTTTTATTCTTATTTTTATTTTTCATTATTCATTTTTTCTTTTTCTTTTTTTTTTTTTTTTATTTTTGTTTTATATTTATTCTTAACCCCATTACCTATTATTACCTTTTTTTTCATCTTTACACAATTTTATCACATCTCGTATTTTTCATTTTTCCTCTTTTTTCTTTTCCATTCTGACAATTTTGAACATCCATGACTTTCCACTATTCACCTTGCAATAATGGCTAATCATTGGTTAATTGATTAATTAGACTCGCGCTACCTATATATTCATCCTTGTCCTTCCACCTCCCCCTGCTTGAAAAAGGAGCGCACTTACGCTTTTCATGGCTAGCGCATGCTCCGAAACGCATCGCAGTGCACCTTGGGATCTGACATCATCATGGCCACGCCGCCGCTGTGCTCCAGTGTGCAATCCATCTGGCTCTGAGGGAGGACATGCACGCCGGCCGGCCTCACCGCTGTTCCCCTCCAGCCACCACGCTGTTCCAGCCGAAAGCTGACTTCCCCACACCACAGAGAGATGACGGCTCTTCACCCTGGTTACCACCCCACTGTTAACTATTGTTAACTACGGTTTTTATGCTTATCATTACTTTACACATGTGAGTGTTTCTACAGATAGACTTTAATAAAGAGGCTTATTGCACTTAGAGGCGCTTCTCTCCTTCTCTTACCCAAACTATTTTGCCACTGCTCCCCATGTAGTCTGGGCATCTGGGGGGCTCCACGTGACAATCTATTCCCTCGTAAATCGGATACTTATAAGTATAGCCTGTTGTCCTCTCACAGGTCTTCTACATCTTGACCCCATATCTGGCACATCTTGCTGGGGAGAAATTGTTTGAATGTAAGGCGGACAGAAAAATGAATGAGGGACTCATCAATGCAGATTTTTTGCTGGGGAGTATAGACATCTGCTAATTTTTGGTTAAGGTGATTTACGAGGAGCTGAATTTTGTGTAGCCGGTCAAATTCAGGGTCACCTCAAGGACGACAGAGTGTATTGTCGTTGAAATGCATAAAACACATTATACTCTCATATCTATGCCTGGCTATGGCAGCAGAGAACACGGGCATATGATGAATCGGGTCTGTGTACCAATACAACCGCAATTCATTTTTTTTAGTAATGCCCATGTTGAGGGTTAGGCCCCAAAAAAAATAAATTCAAAAACCGTAATGGGTTTCCATGCGAATGGTCTGGCAAGGTTTGAAAATTGGTTGGCGGCGATACATTGTTGTGCATATAAAATGCTTTGATCCACAGTCGAGTCAATGCATACAGATCTTCCGTGAAAAACAAGCTCCAAAAAATCAAGGGGCGTAGTTAAATTTGCTGTTTCTGTCTGAGTTCTGGGTTGGGCAGTGAATGGGGGAAGTACGGGTGCTGCAGAATTTGTGGGTTGCCAATCAGAAGGATACTAGGAGCTCTACGGGCCTGTGTGCAAATTCTTGGTGGTTGCGGGACAATACTTGTGCTCGCCACCGCACCAGCTTGTACTGCACTTATGGGACTCGCCAAATCATACTGCAGTGCTGGTATTATTATTATACAGGATTTATATAGCGCCAACAGTTTGCTCAGCGCTTTACAATATAACGGGAGACAATACAGCAACAATACAGTTCAATACAAGAGGGTTAGGAGGTCCTGATCCTGTGAGCTTACAATCTAAGAGGTATGTGAAAGACCAGGATGTACTAGACCGCTGGTGCTCGCCAGTTCACCAAAAGGTAGCGCGGCACTAGTACTGGCACTCTGCTGCATATGAGAGTCATCAAAACTTAACGGCAAGTGCTAACAGAGATCAGGCCTGACTCTGCGAACACTGCAGTTTTGTGTACAATGTATCAAGTGACAGTGGCCTACTGACACTGCACTTGCTGGGGGAGAAGGGGGGGGTAAGCGTAGGGGCTAAACGCAGGTACTGGCAGGTGCCGGGGCTGATCCCGCTAACACTGCATTTTTGGGGACGCTATACTAATGTGAACGCTGGTATAGTGCTGATCTGATCAAAGATATTGATCCGTTGAGACACTACACTAGCAATGGAGGTTTATTGTGTATAAGCGTCTTCCTGGCAATCAAGGGGTTAAAGGGGTTTGTGTTATGGCGCTGTGTCCCTTTAACTGACAATTGCGCGGTCATGCAACGCTGCACCAAAATTAAATTTACATATTTTTTTCCCACAAATTGAGCTTTCTTTTGGTGGTTTTTGATCGCCTGTGTGGTTTTTGATCACCTGTGTGGTTTTTTTTGCGCTATAAAAAAAAACAATTTTGAGAAAAAAAAAAAATATTTTGGACTTTTTGCTGTAAAACATGTCCAGTAAAAAAATTTTATAATCAAATTTCATCATAAATTTCGGCCAAAATGTATTCTGCAACATGTCTGCTAAAAAAAAAATCCCAATACATGTAAATTAATTGGTTTACGTGAAAGTTATAGCGTTTACAAATGGCGATATAGATACTGAATTTTTTTTTTATATATACTAATAATACAGTAGTAGCGATCATCGACTTATGGTGGCAATCAGCGACTTATGGCGGCGATCAGCGACTTATAGCGGGACTGCGGCGGACATTCTGACACTGGGGGGAACTGACTTGGGGTCACTGACACCAATACAGTTATCAGTGCAAAAAAAAAACACTGACACTGTACTAATGGCACTGGGGAGGAAGGGGTTAACTTTGGGAGGCAATGAAAGGGTTAACTGTGTGAGGGAAGTGTTTTACTAGGGGGTGGGGGTGTGTGCCTCTCTGTTACACACTGTCCCGGAAGGGTGTGACCAGCGATCCCGGAACAGTGTGCTGAAAGCTGACAGGGAGGAAAGCTCCATTGAAAACAATGCAGCCTTCCTCTCTGTCAGTGATTGCTTGCAATCGCCAGGCTCCGGCGGGTAATCACAGGCCGGGATCCAGTGATTGACACCTGCGGCCACGATTGGTGCCGCGGGTAGGGCGGTCACGCGCGCCCCCTACCCCGGAATGCAGGATCACGTTTATATACGTGATCCTGCGCACAGGGGCCGCCTTGTAGCAGTATATGTACTGCGGGCAGTCACCTAGTGGTTAAAGGCTGTAGTATAAAAAAATAATAATAAAAACACTTTTTTTCCTGTAAATACATGTGCATTTACTTTTTTTTACAAAAGGTGAATTTATCCTTTACCAATTAATTTACGTTCTATTGTGAAAAGGTGAAGTTTTAATTTAAAAACAATCTATCATGTGATCACAATTATAGGTATGAGGCCACAGCATGCCTGAGCCCAGTGGATAAGTTATTTGGAAAGATCACACACCCCTAACCAGAGAGGCAACACTTCATTATGTGTTTATTAAACATCCTTCTCTGCCAGGATTCTGAATACAATGTACTCCTGAGGTAATATCACAACCATAAACTACTCTAAAAACAGTATCTTTTGGTCAACATATATGGAGAGCTAGAGGAGTGCATCCGATTTCCCAATTTCTAGTACTAAATAAAAATTGGACAACAAAATCATGATGTCACATTAAACAGACAGTGTCCATATAATGAAAAGAACAAAATACTCTTATAAGAGACCATCTCAGAAAGATCACTGCCGTTAAGAGTATATAAGATTCCACAATATGATAGGGATGCTGCACTTACAAGTGTAAGGTTCCTCTGGCTATAACAACATAAAATTAAATATGAAATATTAAAAAGAAGACAACCTCCTCAACTATCTTGCAACTAATAAGAATTGTGGTCTAGTAGATTGGGCTTGAATCAGTGGTATAATAATCCTACCAAAACCCCATTTATGTAAGATGTAGAAAGGGTATTCCCAAGAAAAGAAACCAAAGGCCTTTTGAGGGACTATTTGTTGTTTTGGAAAAATCCGTAACAATTCTACAAATGTTATCTCTTGCTTGACAGCCAGGAATAAATCCAATTTGATCCTTGGGGATTAATTAGGATTGGTAAATTGGGGTTAAGATGAGTTGCTGGGCAAGGATTTTAACTGAGGAAAGAGATAGGTCAAACATTTGACCAAACGGTATTGTTGGAGTTCAGGGAGCAAACAGATGGCAACAGTGAGGGAGTGTTTGCTCAGGAGATTTTCCTGTAATATTTTATTAAAAACAAACAGTAAGAGCATAAGATGTCAGAGAATTTAAAAAGTACATACATTTCTGAAAAGAGTGTGTCAGTCAGGGAATAGTAGTTGGAGTACAGGTTGAACAGGCATTTAATAAAGATTCAGATTATTCTTTCTGAATTACTGGGCAACTGCTTACACCTTACCAGTCTCAAGTGTAATCCCTTTCTATACCCACTCACTGTTTCTCTTCTTTTCTACTTTAAAGTGGAACTCTAGCCAAAACTTTGTTGTATCTGAAAAGTAAGGGTAATGATTATCTCTGTTAGGTTTTACTGCTGTTTGTGCTCCCACTAGCCAGAGAAATTAGACACTAATAAAAACCCAGTGCTTTGAGAAAAAAAGTCCCCTTTTTTTCAGAAGGAAGCCTTCTCATATACCCCCCACGCTAATGCTGAAGGGAATGATGTTTTTTTTTGTTTGTTTTCTTGTGATTGTTAGGTAGGGATCAAGTAGGTCTCTTCTGAAATAAAAGTCTTGTCGCATTTTTTTTTTTGTTGCTTGTCACAACTGTACTTTATAGGCTAGAAGCACTTCTATTGGCGTTAGGACTGGATGCAAAACCTGAACTAGTTACAAAAACTGTATAAAAATGTATTATAAACACAAAAGTGTTTTAACAGCACAACAAGTTACCTGTGTCAAGTGCTGTGTCCTTTGTACAAGCCACCATAGCTCCCATACTAGGCTGAGAAGTCATCCCAGACATGGAATCAACTGCCACATCAACAATGTCAGCTCCAGCTTCTGCACAGGCCAGCATAGATGCCACTCCAGCCCCAGCTGTATCATGAGTATGTATATGGATTGGGATATCTGGGAACTTGTCCCTGAGAGCTCGTATTAGCAAATCTGAGGCCTTGGGTTTCAACAGTCCCGCCATATCCTAGAAAAGATCAGTATTACATTATAATCATACAATAAAACAATATCAAGCAAAAAGGGTAAACACAACCTTTAAAAAAACACTAGGTCCAAGTATATTGCAAGCTTTATTCATAAAACCAGCGAGAGAGGTTGCTTAAATTAGAAAAATTGACACCAACCTGGACTTCCCACAATATTCACTATTAGCTGGGGTTCCTGTATAGGTATCAAATATCTAAAATTATTGACCTCTACATATCCTCATGAGAATGCCAAAAGTGGTTTAGGTTAAGCAGGCTTAAACGGTAGTAAAGTCTATTTCTTTATTTTTACCTACAGGTAAGCTTATAATAAAGTGCATCTGTACGTAAAATGAATATCTCCTAAACGTGCATCGTTTAGGAGATATTCTAGTGAGCAGCAGCCGGCTACATCACTGTGCCAGTGCCATGTGCAGAGTACATGTGCCATGTGCTCTGAAGGAACGACATACCTGTGCTGTTCCTTCAGAGTTGTGTGCTGTAACCATGACTCCGGCACGCATGCACGAAAGTGACATCATTAGAGCTTGGCCATTCAAGTGGCCACAGCTTGAAAACCTGGGAGGAAGACCGGGTGAAGATGGAAGTCTATGCAGAGGTGACAGCGTGCCACTAGATGGTTTAGTTTCAAGGTGAATGTTTCATATTGTGCTCTTATGCGATGCATACTAGTATGTGATGCACATTATATTATGCCTTCACCTAGAAGAAGGACATTTTTTTTCCCTAACTTTACTACAGCTTTAAGACAATCATTATAGAGTGTCTGTCACTTTTAAAAAAAAACAACATACTGCTGTCTTATATGAAGTACCACCTATGTTCCTGTGTTTTCTGTATTTCAACAGCTTTTGGTTTTATGCAATGAACAGGATCACTTTAACTATGCTGGAAAAACTATAATTTATTTTACTTGAAACAAGTTATTTTGTTTCTTTGCTACTTTTTATACAGTAAATTTAAAAAAAAGGAAATATTTGCAACCCCTGCTGTTTGTTATACTCTGTATTTACAAATAATGACATTTATACATTTTGAATGAAGTTGATGAAGTGAAGATGTATAATATTTCTACTATAACTCATGTTCAAGATACCATTTTGGTCATTTATCCTTTTCCCACCTGCAATATGTATATAAAAGTCCTCAGCATAAGGGAGGGAAGCTTTTTAAATGTCCCCAAGCAGAACCCGGCACTATCAGATACAGGGATTGAGAACCTATGTCTCTGACTGCTGAAAATCTGATTACTATGTCATAGTGTTTACATGACATTTTCTACAAACAAACTCGCGCATTTTAAGGGTCTATTGACTTCTCCTGTCAAAGTACACAGCAGATTTTTTATTTAAAAAATGTGTTACTTCATTAAAACAAATTAAATAGGTATGAGTTAAAAAGTGAAATGCTTTTTCACATTTTGTCCATTCTTTAGCTTATAATTTAAAAAAAAATAATCTGCGCAGGATGTTTATTAAAACAATGTTACATAGTTACATAGTCTGGCTGAAAAAAAATACAAAAGTCCACATGTACCACATTAAAGTCCCCAACCTGCAAGAAAAACTTGACGGCTAAATTAATAATCTCTGCAGGAGTATGCACACCTGTATCATGTAAGCGAGGTGATACAACCTAAGGCCTCAAGGCATTCACATGGGATGCATAGGCACAGTAAAACAAGCAGTTAATCCACATTGTTAAAACCCCTTGAAAGTCCACCTACAGTTTTATATTGAGGCCACTTGGAGTTTTTTTTACATGGTCCTCACATACATGTTTTGTGTAAAAATATTTTTACAGGATGTCACATTTTGCATGCTGTTCCACCTGCCAATCAAACCAATTAAAGTCAATGGGACCACAGTACAATTATGTGGCACCACTGATCACTTTTCAGAAGTGAGTGTGAATCGATCATTCGTGGGAATGAGGTCTAGTGCTGACCTTATGCTGGAACAAAACCATGGAGGTCAGCTGGAAAAAAAACAAAACAAAACTCTAGATTGATGGCTGCCCTGAAATAATTAGCTGGGCATGTCTGCAATTTTTAGAGACATAATGATTATTAGCTGATAAGACCAATCACTGTCAGTCTACATACAATGATACCAGTGTTGGACCAGCTGACTTCCCTATGCCTACAGAACAATGGTTCTTCATAGGGTCAATGGTAAAAAGGATATACAAGATTTTGAAATTACTGAATGTAAGGTGTATCTAAATACAACAAATAGATATACTTTAATAAACATGCTTCTTCTGCCAGATAACTATGCAAATCATAAGAATGCCTCCTAAAATGCACCGAACGCATCCCGTTCAAACAAGGTAACTCCTCAGTCATATTACTAGCAGTATCATTTAAGCAAAAGAAATGTAGCACTATGTGAAAAACACTAATATTCATAGTTATGCATGGAAATATACTCAAAACAGAGATGACATGCATTTGCAATATTGTTGGAAGCAGATTTGTCTAGGCAAGTGGCTATTGTAGGCACAATACGTGACAAAATTATGCAAAACTCATACATAAAAATGATGTAACTTCAAGTGGTTGTAAAGGCTTAATTTTTTTTTTCTTAAAATAATAAACATGGGAGTTGATTTACTAAAACCGGAACGTGAAAAATCTGGTGTAGCTCTGCATAAAAAACAGTCGGCTTCCAGGTTTGTTTTTGTCAAAGTTTAACTGAACAATCTAAAGTTGGAAGCTGACTGGCTACCATGCAGAGCTGCACCAGATTTTGCACTCTCCAGTTTTAGTAAATCAACCTATGGAATACTTACCTGTGCAGTACAATGGTATGGCACAGACTGTCCCAGAACCTCCTGTTCTGGAGTCCCCCACTAGAGCTTTCAGCCCCTCCTCTTCTGTGTGTGCCCCCATAGAAAGCAGTGTCCTATGGGGTACACGTGTGGGCACACTCCCAAGCCCTGCTGTGTGTGTCCACCCCCCACTTCCTCCTCACAGGATTGGATTAATAGCAGCAGGAGCCAATGGCTCCCACTGCTGCCTCTGTGTCCTAAGAGGAGAGGATAGAGACCAGCGCCACTGTAGATGGGCACATTGCTGGATCAAGATAGGACTACTGGGACATTTTTTACCTCAATGCAGAGAATGCAGTAAGGTAAAAAAAAAGGTCTTGCCTTTAGAGTCACTTTAAGCATTATAACCCATTAATAGTGCTATTATACCTTAATGCATAAAATGTGGGTTCCAGCTTTCACAAGTTCTTCAGCCAGATTCACATAGTAGTCCAGTGTGTATTTAGTGCGAGTAGCGTCTGCAACATCCCCAGTGTAGGAAATAGCAGCCTCTACCACTCCACCAGCTTGGCCTGCTGCTTCCATACCCAAGATCATGTTTGGTAGGTAATTCAAAGAGTCAAATACTCTAAAGATATCCATGCCATTCTCTTTTGCCACTTCACAAAACCTATGAAAAAAGCAGGCAGCACATTAATTTCATAACACGGATTTTTCTCATATTAAAGTTTACCTGTCATGTATTACATGATCTACTAAAGACACATACGAAAAGACTTGAGATACCTACGAAAGGTTGTATATGGTTACTGCCACATCAATCTTTCTATTAAAAATATCTCTAAAAATTTCTAACCTTTAAATCCTGTAGCTGGAAGTAAAGACATTGGTGGAATTGACAAAGAATGGCACAGGAATATTTCACTCTGAAATAAAAACTTATGCAGGAAGTACAGAGAGAGCTGAAAAAAGTCTATCTGTTCTGTTAATGTGATGCACGCCGCTCATATCAATTTAATTCCCCCATTATGTTCATCAACTGTTTGTATAAAAAGAACAGCTAATATGACCATGTCTGTGTAAAAATACACAGCCAATAAAAATTTTGCTGATGCTGGGAAATTCTTGCTTTCAGAGTCTGCATGCAGAGGTGCACAACTAAGATAAATTAATGATTTGCATTACTCTGGCCACTTAGGATATTAGTTATTGTATAAAAGTAAACTATTTAAAAAAACATGAGACTGTAATTGTTGACTTTTTTGTAAAAAAAAAAAAGTTGGTTGGCTGTTGTACTGTACTATGGTTTCAATAATTTATTTTTGCAATTTCTCATTTTGGATAGAATAGGGAAAAGTTATACTCTCTATCAGTGTCCCTGCAGGAGGAATACAATGTCTTCATTTGTTTTGGTGAACATTATAATTTTGAAAGTAAAGGGAAATCTGAAATTCTAGAGTTGTCACCACAGCAATAGACTGAGCTATATCTTCCAAAGGGGGCAAATGTCCGGTGACGACAGCCCAAAGACCCATTCATTCCTTTCTGCTCTGTTGTGCTGTGTTGACACCTGTTATGTTGCACATTGAAGTGTGCTGTATTAAGGTAGCCCATTCAAATCAATGGGCTGCCAATACCAGGTATAAAAAAAAAACATACATTCACCATTTTTCAGCAATGCAGCACACCCCAACTCATGGCAGTGCATTACAATGTGTTGAGGTGTGCTTCAATGCATGTGCATCCCCTAATGTGAAACTGAAGGGCAGCTTAATGCACTAATGTACATCTGGTGCAATATAGAAAGGGTGATCCTGGATTGGGCTTTAAAGAAGCAAGGCAGTCAGCATAACACCCAGGCAATTAGCATTTTCAGAAAGCAAAGACAGTATTTTCAGACTTCAAGTTTCAAGGCAGTGCTGTAGTTTAAAGAAGAGCCTTTTGGCCCACTTCAATATAAATTTGATTTAATACTTCCTAAGCCTTACTGTAAAGATGCCATATATTTTATATCGTCCGCTGATGGTAGTCAAAAAACCTGAGCTGGAAGTTAGATTAAATGGCTCTTTCATTTTAGGCTGTATATGTACTATACTACAGCAGCACATGGTACAACGTAGCAGAAAAGAATGATTTCAGAAGTCAGTTTTGTAGTTGTGATGAAAGCGATAAACATAAAAATATACCTTTTCCACTAAGAAAGCAATGCCATATTTTAGTTGGGGGCTCTTTGCTTTCTTTTCACCCATGTACCACTACCTAACTAATCATCAGCCAAACTGCCAAAATATGTTAAGATGATTTCAAGGAGAAACCCCCCCAAACTAATATCTAGTTATATCTAGACTATTTCTTTTATATGCGGTCTGTTTACATTTTAACTGACATAAACATAATCAATAATAACAATTAAATAAAATAAGCAAAAAAATAAAGTAATAAGCAATAAAAAAAAAGCAGGAAAATGAATGTTGTCACTTGTTCCGTTACTCACTTGAAAACAGCATTATCAGGGTAGTTTGTATATCCTACAGCATTTGCCCCTCTAAGTAACATCTGGAAAGGTATGTTAGGAATGAGCTCCCTCAACTCCTGCAGACGTCTCCAAGGGCATTCATAAAGGAAGCGCATGGCAACATCAAAAGTAGCACCTTTAGAAAGACACCATAAAAACTGTCACACTACAACAAAGTAATGTACCAATGGCATTTAACTGAAATGTTTTCATCTAAATTAAAGTAAACGTCAAAATCCAGGACAGTTTGGACATGAAAACAGAATGTCAAAGCAATGAAATAGCTTCGCTGAAACATCGTGAAACTGGTCTAAAGGAGCTTAAAAAAATAGCCAGATTTGTCATCAATAATATTTCCTATGGAAAGAAGTATCAAGACACTCATATAGTTAATGCTAAAAAACATGAAAGACTCCATGGTCTGATATTTGAAAACAATTATAAATGCTGTGCTCCACTATGACTCATGAGTCACTCTGTTGCATGTTTATGAAAATGGGAGCAACTTGCTCATAAAGGCCAATTCAGGTTTTAATTCATTGAGCAATTAAAACAAGAAATCTAATCGATTAGTCAAACTGTTGTCATCATTATATACAGACACTGCGCACATATCAGTTGTTACAGGTCCTCTTTATACACTGCCCCTTGCAATATTTGATGACTGGAACCTACACACTAAAAAATTTCAAACTGTCTAAATCTCAATACTTTGGATACCATGCCCAGTGACACATTAAAATGTATTGGAAAAGCAAATGCACTAGAAATACAGACAGAATATTCCAGAAAATGTCATGAATAACTGGTGATCTAAAGATATATTGTGATTATAATGTCTTACCTCCCCAGTTTTCCAGGCTGAAGAGATTGCTGAAGTTGTGTGAGACAAAAGGAGAGATCTTTTTTAGGTCATGAGTACGAACTCGGGTGGCAAGAAGAGATTGGTGGGCATCTCTGTATGTTGTGTCCATTAGAAGAAGTCCACGGTGCTTGCGTACAGCCTTGGCAAACCCCTCTGGACCTTCTCGAAGCAGGATATCCCTAAATCCAGGAAGAGGTTCACCTAGCACATAAGCATTTAAAAAAAGTAGATTAAAAAAAAAAAACTCACTATTAACCCCTGTCAACCTGTTACACACTCAAACACGTGTTTGAGATTTATTTGATACCATGTTCAATCAAAACTGTCTTTTAGTTGCAAACATGTATATTACGCTAACAGAGCTAAATTTGTAAGATTTGTAATGTAATGTAATGTTCTTTGTAATGTTCTCAAGAGGTCTGCATCTGAGGAATAGTCAGATATTGCCTGCATGTTCTAAAATCACAAGAAGGGTCATGTACATTCATAGCCTTCTTGCTGTAGGGATAGAAGCATGTACCCTATTATGTTGAGCACATATCTTCTTTAAAAAAAAGTTATTTTTTTTATTTTAATAAACACATTTAAACCATATGCAAACCTTAACAATGAACATCTTATTTGGTCTACTAAAAATACCACCTACAATATGTTTTGTTGTATGTTTTCACTAAGTGCAAAACTTCCTGTTGTATTAGCCAGAAAACTGGTGAGATAATCACTTTCTGTGTTCTCTAACTGTGGTGAATTTTTATCAGTTAAAATTGTTCCCTGCTCCCTCTGTGGACTGTGGAACACCCCTACCCTTAAGTTATGGAGAAAAGGAAAGGGGGGTGTTCTTTAGTCCTGTCCTAGAGTGACAATGCCGCTGCTCCACAGATACAATACGGAAAAATCACCAGGTAAAAATAGAGCAAAAAAAGTTATGAAAAAAAAAACTACTGCAGCCAACACATCTAAATTAATAAAAAAAATATAAATTTGGCTGGCGCTTCACTTTACTCATTTTTTAAAGTTGGATCTTGACCATGTGAACTAAATCAGGAAGACTGCTGGCTGAGAAAACTTGCAATTATCCACTCATCTATGTGGATAATTCAATCAAAACCATCAATACTATCTAAAGAAGCTGCAGGTGAATCTATAACATATATATATGCATATTAATTATACTGTCTTGTACAAACTTCTTTCACAGTCCTTAAAGTCTCAATAAACACCCCAAAAAAGTTTAAATGCATTTTTCTTTAACCCCTTCATGTCTAAAGGTAAAACAAATCCTAATGCTGAAGCACAATTTTGCAGCTTTGACATGTTTTAGTAAAACTGTGCATATCATCACAACTACTTAGTGCATGCAAGTGAATTATACGTTGTTGTTTTTTTCAGGACAAATTGGGCTTTCATTTGGTGGTGAATGGTAATGGATATCTTCTGATTTGTTATATTGTTATCAAAGGAAAACTGGCAAAAAAAATAGTAAAAAAAAAATTATTTTTAAGCTGTATATTTCTTGTTACTACCATAACCTACCACCAAAGAACAGCCCAAAATAAATTCTCCTGCTCATGACAATTGAGGTGATACCACATATGTGTATGTTATTTGTTGTTTGTACTGTAGTACAGACCAGAAACAACAGTGCGCATTTTGTTTTTATCCTACCTAAAACACACTGACACTGAAACTGACAGGGTTTCTAAACTAGGAAAAAAAAAAAAAGCAGAAAATATACTGACCCTGACCTTTGACCTTGCACAAAGGAAGATAAGCAAATATGCAGGCCCACAGCGTAAAGTCCAGAGCAGTGAGACCGTATAACTGTGTAAGGGCGGTGTGAAGGGGTTAATATTACATTATATTCTAAAATATGCAAGTTGTATAAAGTACTAAACTTGGTTGATCATTCCATTTAGTTACAGCAAATTGTTTTTTACACAGTAACATCCGATCTTCTTGCTGTTGTGTTGCCAGCTTTACTACAAATGCTCCTCAGATGTTTGACAGGTAATCTATATCTGTTTTCCTATTCCAGCTTCCCCATGTGTCTGTTTCATCATTTGTAGGGGTGACCGCCCCACATGACACATTGCCAGTGTTACCTCAGTACAGCAGCAAGCAGCAGTGAATGTGTGTATATTCAGGCTACATATTCCAAGCACATTTTACGCTTGTTTATAAAGTAAAATCATAAAGATTTTTTTTTTTTGGCAACAGTACCATTTAGTGTTGTGCAGGCACTAGAAAGATTCTCAGGCTTCCTGGTATGATGCATCTTGCTTGCTCCTGCACCAGAGGTTTCACTGTGGTTGGGTGCAAGCATGAAAGTCATATGACCACGGTAAATTGGCTCAAAGAAGAGGCATTTGAGATAATTTTTAATTTTACTTCCAAACCACAAGAATTGTTAAAGAATAACTCCCCTTTTGTTGAGAAAAATGCCTGAAATCTGAATTGTATCTTAGTACAGACTTCTGGGAAAATCAGTAAGCCAATCACACAAGCAGGAAATGACATTGCTAGTTGTTTTCTGTACACATTCTGTGCACAGAACACCTCCAGGTAGCCATATTGCATTGCATTTCCTAGAAAATGACAGAGCTGCTGATTGAAAAGGAAAGGTAATTTTTAATAACATTCTATTACAATATTACTTGTGTCGCAAATATATATGCTATATTTTTTTTTTTTTTAATGTGCTACCCTTTAACTGTGTGGAGTTAAAATTATATATGTAAAGTTGTTAGGTTGATTTAACATTTGTTATGTAGTTATTTTCATAAATAAAATCAAAACTTACTCATTGTCACAGGGGGCACAACAGGATCAACAGTAGATGGCTTTGCCTTAACAGGAATGGGTGTAGTTGGACCATTCACCATCACAAGACCTAGAAAATTACACCTTCGGTTAGTAATTTACACAAGATGTTCGGCAGTCATATTTTCCCATTTTCCAAGTAATTACCAGCTAATGACAAAGATGCATAAATTACATACTGTAATCTGTAAAAAAAAAATATATTGTACTTTAACTAGATAGATACATTTTGTCAGCAACCAGCATTGTGATTGTAAAGGTGTGCACAGCCCTCTTAGAATGGGAGATGACTATAGTTCAGGGTTCTACCCCCTCATTGTGCTGCTAGGGGGCAGCAGGTACACATACAGGCTAGAAGTGTGTATGTCCCTCTGTCTGCACTGAGCAGGCCAACACCTGGAGGACACAGCAGCGTGTGAACACGGTTATGTTCTGGCCATAGAGACCATGATCTAATAGGCCGAGAGCTCAAGAATCCTGAGTTGGGGTTGCTTTATAGCCATGAGGCTGTAGTTTTGCTTTGGACATTTTGTGATGCTAAAACCCCATGTAGAAAATCTGAGTTTAAATATCTTTACTCTAATTTAAAATAGGCAAAGAGAGCCTCCAAACAAAAAAGCTCTACCCTTGGCGCTAATCTTCACACATACTGTAATATACATACACTATGGGGTTTATCTTTTAAAGCTGGAAAGTTCAAAATCAGGCTCACTTCTGTATAGAAACCAATTAGCTTCTAAGCTTAGCTTTTCAATCAAGCTTTGGCAATAAAACTTGAAAGCTGGTTTCTATGCAGAAGTGAGCCTGATTTTGCACTCTCCAGGTTTAGCAAATAAACCCCAATGCTTCAAATCCCCAAGCTTTACCAGTCGCTGGTGTTGCCCAAACCTAGTGTGCATAAATCTATTGGTTCTTCCAACATAAGTGTAGCTACAGAGGCAACTCAACCCATATACAATAAGACAAACTGAGTGGCGCAAGTCATGACTGACACACCACATATTCTTTACCATCTAAACTGCAAAAATCTTCTGTTCTCATGTAACAAATTTATACCCCACACAGTTTCTTTTCCTACATGGGTATGTGCTCTCCATGTTGGCATATCCCTAATCTGGATCTTCTTACCTTTCAAACTATTAGGTTGTGATATTTGTAATATTTTTCTCTTTTCTAAAAACTATTTTTGGCTTCCAAGGGAGAATGCTTTCCAACTTGGTATCCTGCAAAAGGATAGGCCAATGTTTATTTTGTTAATGGCTATATAGTGATTGCTAATGTTGGTACTAAAAAATTAGAGAATTAGTGGGCTTTTCAGGTGGGCTTTCTTGCAAGTACAAGACACTTCCACAGCTATACCTGTCACATGCTTATCTATGAGACTTTTTCATATCCCTTTTCCAGATACGTTGTTTTCACAATTTCAGAAACTTTCATACAGTTGCATCACAGCTTCTGAAATTGACTGCAGGGAATATTCCTCTTCCATTGTGGGTAATGACAACTGTCACAGTGTAAGTAAGAATATCTTTAAAATGCATCTTGAACACTGCTACCGCTTTTATCAGTGTATAATAGAAGATCCAAAAACACTAGGGAATTCAGGTCTGCTACATGGGTAAACTAGATGTTATAAGGATTATTCATACAATAAGTAGTAAAAGAAGATATAAATTCATATGATCCATCCCAGTTGACTATGATGTCATTATTATAGTGGCCATAGTATACTAGATGACTCGCAAAAGGGTTGTTGTCCCAAATGTATGGAGATTTCCAAAGGACCATAAAGAGGTTGGCATAACGGAGCACGAAGTTTAAGCCCATCACCTTGCCAACCTTCTGTAGGTAAAATGTATCCAAGAACTGAAGGTAATTTTGTTCTGAAGCAAACTATGTACACTAAGAGATGAACTGTGACTGCAGAGGGTGGAAATTGTCATTTCAAACCAAAAAAAGTTTCAGGGCTTCCAAACCAGCTGTATGCAGGATGGAGGTATAAAAGAGCTCACATCAAGTGAAAGCCACATATAACCCCCCATAATCCCAATGATAACTGTAAAATCTCCAACAGGTGTGAAAAATCTCTAATATATGCTGCTTAAGATGTTATTATAGATTGGAGCAAAGAAGTCCACATACTGTGCTATTCCATATGTCAATCCTCCCATATTTGCTATAATCAAATTCTCAGGAGGTGTTGCCTGTATTTTTATTATTTTTTGGAATATGGGACATTGTAATACTCTCTAAAAAGAAAAGAGCATTCTGCTTTAGTCACAATACCGTCATCATTTGTCCTCTGAATCATCTCATGTAGTATAGGCTTGAATCTTCCAAGGGGATCTCTGTCCAATTTCTCATATGTACTGTATTTGTGTCAGACAACAACCTAAAAGCTTCTGAAACATAATCAATCCCAGTGTTCTTTTGCTAGGTATATCAGAACCCTTTTGATGGTAGTCTAATACAGTGTTTCTCAACCTTTTTCCATTCAAGACACCCTTTAAAACTATACACAATCTCGAGGCACCCCATTCTAAAATAGTGAAGAACAAACTAATGGTTTTATATAATGCACCAACACTGACACATGTGGGATACCCAACATTAGCAGTGATTTAGTCTTGCAAAGCAGATATACCTTTGCACACTGTTACTGACTAGCCACTCTCCCTCCACCCTATAGCAGTTTTACTGCCTACAGGATGGTATTCCTGTGCAAAATCACGTAACTAAACATAATTTTGCACTTCGGCCAAACAGGGGCGAGCACACACTACTGGAAATATTCAGCTGTGAACTGTCACAGCACAAAATGATCTACAAGCCCTGGGGAGCAGTTGCTCGCCGGCACCTGCAGATCGTTGGTCAGGGAGGAAGAATGGGCTATGGATATGTTTACATAACTCTGTTGTGACAGGAGAGAGTCATGAATCTTGGCTTTATGCAAAGCTGAGAACATGATCCATCACTTCCCATAGTAAAAGCACCACCTAGTGTACACCAAGCACATAGCTGGGCACACACTTAACACTTTGATTGCCCTAGATGTTAACACCTTCCAAACCAGTGTCATTAGTACAGTAATCAGTTTATATTTTTAACACTGATCACTGCATTAGTGTCACTGGTTACCACAAAGTGTCAGTGTCAGTTAATGTAAAAATGGCCGCCACAATATTGCAGTCCTTCTATAAGTCGCTGATCACCACCATTACTGGTATAAAAAAAATAACATTTAAAAATTACAGTATATGTACCATAGTTTGTAGATGCTACAACTAATCAATATAAAAGTGTTAGGATTTGTTTTACCAAAAATATGTAGCAGAATACATTTTGACCTAAATTTATGAAGAAATTTGATTGTTTTTTTATTTGATGTTTTATAGCAGAAAATAAAAAATATTGGGTTTTTTCAAAATTGTCAGTCTTTTTTTGTTATAGCGCAAAAAGTAAAAACCGCAGAGATGATAAAATACCAACAAATGAAAGCTCTATTTGTTGGAAAAAAGGACATCATTTGCATCTGGGTACAGCATTCCATGAATGCGCAATTGTCAGTTCAAGTATCGCAGTGCCGTATCACAAAAAATGGCCTGGTCAGGAAGGGGGGTAAATCTTCTGGAGGGCAAGTGGCTAGTATTACAATATATTTCTTCTTCAGTTTCTGTCCCTCACTGAGTTAATGTGATGATGGGAAGAGGTAAACAAGTGCAGATGCCAGTGTCCTCCTTATCAACTGATGATGTCATTGGTTGCTAGGACCCAGGCAGCTAAAAAGTTGTAATGGTGCATAATGAAAACTTGTGGCTTTGTGTAACTAAGAGACAGACTTGATTCACCCACTGGCTTGTAAACAGTTTTTGGGCAAATTTTAGGCATGTTGCCAAGGCACCCCTGAAGACACCTAAAGGCACCCCAGGGCCCCTGGGCACCCTGGTTGAAAAAGACTGGTCTAATAAGTCTACCATAACTGAGTACATCTTTTGAGATCTTTTGAGGTCTTCAACATATATTAAACACAGCAAAGAGATTTGCAAGAGATTTATGAGACTACCAACAAGGGAAAACATTCCAGAGAAGATCCACTTCAGAACAGTCACAGAGAAATAAGGGTACAGGATCAGGAGATGAGGACAGTTGAAGAGCTAGAAATCAGTCCCACTTGAGGTTGATATCCTGCTCTTAAAATGAAAGCCAGGAGCTGATGTGTAGATACAGCAATTCTACCAAATGTTGCTGTCATAAAAAGAACCATGTGTACATGAAACAGAGAGTAACAGTGTAACATTATTACTTTTGTATCTACTCTGTTCTAACTACAGACTGAAGTTCATCCCTTTGACCTGCAGGTAAATGAACAATCTGTCAAGTAAAAAGAAAAATCAATTAAATGTAATTAAAGTTTCTTTACTTAATCCATTATTAAGCCTTAGTATCACCTAATTGCCCCAAATGAACCCATTCTTTCCCTTCTCTCTTCAACTATTTTACTGCAGATTTTTATCTTATTAACCATTATATGTAAAACTTTCTTTCACTTTTATTTATTATTTTTTTTGTTTTTGTGTCACATTAAAAAAGTACACTGAAGTAGTTAAAAGACTTTTGGTTTTCAGTAAAGGTTTGTAAACACAGGCAGAGCATAGAAGAGAAGATACCCCACCAGCTGATTGGATGGAAGAGACACACCACAAGGAATGGAGCTGAGGCTGTCACTCTGCTGAAAGACCCTCCCCTGTCCCCATTTTTCTATTGGTGTCAGGAAAACTTGTCAGAGGTGACTCATGCTGATAGCAGAGGAACAAGGTAGTAGACAGAAATCACACTTAGTGCTCTTCATTGAGACAAGTACACAATATAGAGGGATATGCTTTGTTCATAAATCTGCGGTTTAGATCCACTTTACGTTTATCAGCCTATACTATTCTCTCCCTATGCAGTTTGTCAGCTTTTTTATGCTCTCACTACAACAACTCCAATATCTAAACTCTATCGCTGCTGTGAACCCATCTCTCCTCATTATTGGCTATTTTGAATCTTCTGTGCAGGGTCAAAGTATATGCAGGGCATTATTGATTGATCCAAAATATGACTAGACCAATTTGCCCCCAAAACAAGCCTCAAACTCATGAATGGGTGAATTGCAAGCTTATCCCTATTTGTAATGTACACACACTATAAGTTGTATGAGTACTCACTTCCATGAGATGACCACTGCCAAATCTGGTTATTCAGTTCTGTCTTTAAGGACTATGCTCCAATTGATAATGACATCTAATACACTAAATCCAGCACCTACCATCCACAAAAGTTGCTTGTGAGCCCAGCTAAGCATAACAACTGTAGTGTTTTAACATAGCTTTGCTATCTTGGTGTCCTTAGTGTTTGTGTAGATAGGAAAATTCAGCATAGTTATACATGTATTCAGCTTCCATTTGCAATCAATTTGAATAGTTAGTACATTTTGATTAGTTTGCCATGCTTTTGAGTTCCATCTGACTTCACAAATGCTTTCACCTCCTCCTGGCCTGCATCAAACTGCTTTTGTATTTGTACTATCTGGTATGGGGAAAAAAAAAGCAGCATTGATGGAAACAAAAGGATGATGCCTGGATCAGCCAATCCTCAGTCATAACAGTAGAAATAGTTGTAAAACATCTGGTCTCCCAACTGGTGATAACTGTCATATAAAAATTGCCAGCTCACAAAGTAGTTTTCCCTAAATGCTGCTTTGTCATAAAAAGCTATTTGACTTCAGCTGTATCTGCAAAGTGGCACTGTAAGCTTGTCCCTTATGCTGTACCCAAGCACAAGGTAAAGATTTTCAAATGGATTTTGCCTGTTATGGCTCAAAAAACGTGGTTAAACAATAAGCTGGATAATGTTTTAAAAGGAAAGTTGTGAAAATCATTAAACATAATCAATCGAAAAGCCCATTAAACAAACCTTTATAAATAGCTGAATCGAACAAGTATAGCACAAAAAAACTTTACTCAGTGCTATGATTAAATAGGGGCATAATGATGACACAAGAGACTGATGGAGCAATTGTTATAAATTGGAGTAGAGTGATAGCACAGGAGATTAACACAGCAATTTAACTTCTGAAATGATATGCAGTGACTTAATGTAGGTACAGAATCTTGCTTTCAGTACATTAGCTGCTAGAATAACAAAGCACCAGTTTAACAAACAGGTTGTTAAACATTTTTCTGAATGCTGTCAAACTAAATTTGTATTTCCTTTTGCCAGTTTTATGATAAACACAGTTCTGTCACACCACTTAGTAAGTGGTACCACAACTTCCTATGAAGTTTGTACTTTAAATTAAAAAAGAAAGTTTAAAGCGGAGCTCCAGGCTCCCCCCCAAAAAAAAACTTAAACGTTGGCAGCAACAAATACTGTAGCTGCTGACTTTTAATATAAGGGCACTTACCTTTTCAGGGGTCCAGCGATGCCCTCGCCTGAGCCAGGTTAAGGTGCTGGTGCCGGCATCTTAAGTAAGCGAAACAGAAAGTGAAGCCTTGTGGCTGGCAGCTGCTTCCCTACATGTGCAAAACGCACTGAGCTTTTGCACTAATGGGCACTGGTATGTGGCATTGATGGGCAGTGACAGGTGGCAATTATGGGCACTGATCATCAGGGCATTGATGATCAGTGCCCTGATGATCAGTGTACATGTCCCCTCTGAAGAATGCCAATTACCGGAATTTCCTATTTACTTGTGATCAGCTGTGATTGGACAGCTGATCACATGATAGAGCCTACATCATTGGCTCTTCACTGTGATCGCTGATCTGCTGTGTGCCAGGGACACAGCGCACCACTGATCGCTGAGGTGCGCATACACAGAGTGGGAGGATGTCATATGATGTCCTCCCAGAAGAAGAGAAACGCCACCCATCTGTCATTTCCCTTATATGGCATGCGAGAGGCGGTTAAAGAAGGACCGTCGTTTAAAGTGCAGAAAAGGATGGGACTTTTTTTTTTTTTTAGAAAACATGGTTGACTCTGCAGTCAGGCTGAAAAATAGCACTCGACCATCAACCATAACAAAAAAATATTTTTAAAAACTTGCATTCACAGGAACCTAAAGACATACAGCTGATCCAGATAAAGCAGAACACCCTTAGGCCTCGTGCACACTGGCCAATTGGCCATCTCTCTTAGACACCCTTTATCCTGGCAGCAAAACTGCACAATGCTTTTAAACACATGAGCTTGGGTGTTAATTTCATTGGCTAGAATAATATTTTATTCTGGTCATTGAAATTAATTGACACTCAAGCCCTAGACACACCTAGTGTTAACATGCATATAGATGCCTTTACGCACATTTACATGCATCAAGTGTTTTTTTCTGCCAAAACTCAGCTGATACTTAACACGCTGGCAGTGGGGGGGGGGGGGTGTTCTGCCTCTAAATGCCTATGTGTGTATGCAGGGGTGTTTAGAGGCAGAAAAAAAAGCCATATGCCCCTAACAGCAGTTTTAAAAACATCCAGTGTGCATGGGGCTTTATAAAGCGTGGTTCAGTTTACTCTAACAGATACTCACATGTTAATAGCCAGTTACATTTTGTGTATTCAGAAACACATCTATTTTTTAAGCAATCTACCAAGTTGGCTAGATCTGGCTAACAGCTCTTATTTGAAAGGACAATTTCTGTCTGCAGAGGTTAAACCTTTTTCATTTGACCTCAGAGCATTTCAAGAACTTTCTGGAATGGGTATAAATCTCTCTACTTAGCTTCCTGTTTAGCATAGAAAACCTGGCAGAAGCATGAACCTTAATAATGAACAATACTCTATGCTTAAACATACTCTCCTGAAAAGGGAAAATCAATTCTGGGTGAACTTTCGCTATACCTTTTAAAATATTAACTTGAGAACTTCAAAAAATACTACTCAAACTAGTAATAGATTGCTAGCATGCCATCTTGACCAAACTACTAACTTGTGCTACTACTTGTCCAACTGTAGTCTTAGCGCACTGAAGATTACATAATAGAAAATAGAATAGAAAGTAGAACTGATTTACCAAGGTAGTGCAACAGCTTTTGTGCTCGGTTCTGTACAGGCCTCAAGTTGAAGAGGTCAGGGTTTTCATCAATAAACTGGGTGTCCACTGTACCATGAAGGAATTGGTCATTGTATAGAACATTTTGTAAGAAAGGAATATTTGTCTAAAATAAAAATACAGAAAAAAACAATATGTAAATAGAAGAATACACAATGGTACTTACATATTCACAGTAAGAATTTTCAGTGTATGTAAAAATGGCAACTGTGCAAACAATCCATAACTCTCAAAGAAAATGTGTCTGTAAACTGTACAAACCTGCAAGATATCGGATTAGCTCTAATGGGCCTCTGAGAACAGTCATTTCCCATTAAGTTACAAACAACCAAGGATGTCATCCAACAGTAATAAATGTGAAACTAGGGAGAGTAGTGAAACTAGCACATTGTATTTTAAAACATTATGTCCCCAAGACCATTGCTGTAAGTGAGAATAACAAATGGTTTTTTTAAGATACAGCAAAATATAATCTAAAGGCAAAAATATAGTTTGAAAGAGCAAGGGTAGGAAAGAAGGAAGAAAAAAAAAAAAGAAAAGTCAACTGCATACACAGGATGACGCCAGTGTCCCATTTCTGCGACTCCTGGGAACTGCTTACTGTATCACTCTGGTTGCTCAAAGACCTGCTAATTAGAGCTATGATGATCAGACTGGAATGAATAGAACAGCGAAGGGGGTGAATGAGAGAGGATCTTATAAAATCTGTCACTTAAGAGCTGGCTGTGCTAAATAAAACATACATAACCATTAATAGCATGGTATTTGCATGCATGTTGGCATATGTACAGTAAATTCTGTTCATAAGGAATAGTGCCAATGCTAGTGATTAAGAGGTTTTCAAAGGACATTTCAGAACATGCATGTATGCAAAATAGATCAAGGTGACTGCCACTGAATGATTTGTAATATCATGAAATATTTATTGGCAAGTCAAAAGTAACTAATATTTTAAAAATCCTTACATTAAAGTGGCAATAAACATTAAAGTGTTTGTGAACGGAAACAATGAACTGCTTCTATTTGCTCCCTTTTGGTGTGTTAAAGTGTAAATAAGGTTCTGCAGTCACAAACTGCAAGCAGAGAGGCTCTTTATTGCAGAAGAGATATACAATGTCTCTTCTGCAATAAAATACATCTGCGTGCCTCCTTGTTTTCTTCTCCAGCTTGTAAACGGAGTTGCGCATGTGCTGCTCAGCCTACATTAACAGCAGCACAGTCCCTGTGTGCTGGGATGACAAACTCCTGCGGATGCATAGGAGTAACATCATCCCAAACCAGCCAATGAGGAGGCTGTCGCCAGCGAGGGATGGAAATTGTTGAAAGAAAAGTAAGTTTAGCCCCACTTTAATAATAAACATTTCATACTTACCGTACCTGCCCTGTGCAGTGGTCTTGCATAGAACAGCCCCGATCCTCCTCTTCTTGGACCCCTGCTAGAGCTCCTGGCCCCTATTTCCTGCCAAGTGCCCCCACAGCAAGCAACTTGCTATGAGGACACATGTCCATGCACGCACAAAGCTGTGGCTCAACCCCGCCCCTCTCTCTCCTCATTGGCTCACTGTCTGTGATCGACTGCTGCTTTAGCCAATAAGGGGGGAGAGTCCCCAGAGAGCCAAGGCTGCCATGCACACATCGCTGGATTGCAGTGGGGCTCAGGTATTAGGTGGGACTGGGGGGGCTGCTGCACACAGAAAGTTGTTTTTTTTTTAGAATGCATGAAGGTAAAAAGCATTGAGCCTTTAAAACCACTATAAAGAGATGCATCAATACCATTTTTTGATCATTGAGTATGAGTACCGATACTTTCAGGTCAAGTACTCGCCCAAAAAAAATACTGATGTATGGATGCAAATTGCACTGCAAAGAATAGCTTGTGATTTGAACAGAAATGCAAGTTCACACGGGAGTGGTGCTGGAAACCTCTCCTTACTGATCCCAAACTGAGCAGAGAGTGGGACAGAAGGGTGTGTGCAGGGGTGTATTTACCACAAGGCAAACAAGGCATTTGCCTAGGGCAGCATTTTTCAGGGGGGCAGCAGCATTTTTCAGGGGGGAAGTGCTGTCCCCCGAACGAGGGAATGAAAGAAGGGACGCACGCAGCACAGGGACCAGGTGGGATCTGAGAGAGGCTGCTTGATGGTGTATGCAGAGCCTGACTCTTGTACCTGGGTATGTCCTGAGCTCTGAAGGTGAGTGTTATCTCTTGCCGGGGTGGGGTTGCCAGTGTATGGGGGGAGCGGTGTTAGTGCAAGGCTCTCTCGGATGGAGGGGGTGTTCTTGGTCAACATCAGGCTCTCTTCGTGGGGGAGGGGGTGTGTTGGTCGGTGTCAGGGTCTCTCTGTGGTGGGGGAGCCAATTTTTGTGTTGCCTAGGACAGCATGAAACCTAAATACACCACTGGATGTGTGGGGAAACCTTCTTGCAGCAATCCCATACTGAGCGAGTGAGCAAAGAGTAGGAGAGACGGGCATGTGGGGATGTATACACTGGTGTTGGCTATCAGGCGAAGGATGCTGACAGATGCTCCAGATTCTCAGTTGTCATCCCTGAAAGTAAAAGAGAGAACGCCACAGAATTTTAAATCCATATGGCTTTCTCTCCTCTCCTTGCAGGGATGACAGTGCAGACTAGATGGATTTTTATTGGTCAGCACCGTCAGGGTGCTGACCAATCAGAAACTGTCTAGCTCGTACTGTCATCCCTGCATGAAGAGGATTTCAAATTCCCTCAGATTTCTACCCTCTCCTACAGCTGAGAATCTGGAGCATCTGCCTCCATCCTCCACCATTTCACGAGTGCGCATGAATTTAAGGTTTGACAAGTTAAATATCTATTTACTCGCTGCAACCTCGTCTTTTATATTTTACAAAAAAAAGGCAATTTATTGCTTTTTTGTACCCTAAAATTAACTTAATTGTATTTTTACCGTAATTGTGCGGTAATATCATGCAACATAAAAAATTGGAATTACCAATATTTTATTCTCTAGGGGGGGTCTCTAATTTCAGAAAATATCTAATGTTTGGGGGGTTTATGTAATCTTCAGGCCTAAAATTACTTTTTAAACATGTGCAAAAAACGCAAAAACTACTCTGGCAGCGAAAACGAAAAAACAGCTCTGGCAGCGAAAGGGATAAAGTATAAGCCCTGACCAACTCTTTCCTGATGAGCAGCTGATCAGTGCTCATTACACTGCAAGGTCTCCCCCATCCCTGCTAGTCTCTGGTTGCGGTGCTGGAGCGAGGCAGGGAGGGGAGGAGGAGATAAACAGCTCATTGTTAAAATTATTACATGCTTAAGTCGCCATAAAGCCTCTTTTGGTTTTAAAAGCCCCAGACATTCCTAAAATCACCTCCGATTTAAATATGGTTTTGGTTAATTTTTTTTTTTAATCTGGACAAGTAGGTTTTCATGAGGGACAAGTAAATTGCAGCCCTGATTTAGTCCCTGGACAAGTAAAAGTCAAAACAATTTCCACACCCCTGTATATGCTCAACATGCTTACAAATAGCAAGTAGTCATAATCTACTTTAACTCTGAAAAAAAAAAATCAACAAGATCATCAGTTCAGGTACCCCTGTCATGAAAAAGAGCATGCACTCAAATGAAGCCACAGGGATGCATGGCATGGCGATCTTTTCGATTACTTCAACCATTATCTATACCAGGTGAACATTTCACACATGCTTTATTTGTGAATCTGTGGTATTCAACACATTTTTCCTACAACCGGACCCATATATGTAAATTGAAAACACTGGTAAAAATAAGGATTCAAAAACACAAGAACTTATAGTTCTTGGAACATGGCTCGACAGCCCTGTGTTGTATCATTTTTACAAGATATGCTCAATATGTCAAAAATTTGATGGCAAGTGACAAGCTCTTTGAACGGAGATGACGGGCCCAAGTTAGGTCTTATTTGTATAAATACAAAGGGAGACTCTAAATTAGGTTAGTTGAACACTGCATCACATTCTAGCTTAACCTAGTCTGTCAATGAAAAAATGCTTTTTATAGTTTAGGGCTGGGTTTACACTCTTCTTTGTGTGTGCAGCATGCATGGTAACCTCCACATGTAGGTATAAATGGACCCATAATGCACAAGTTTTGCTGAATCAAAATGGACAAGTGTTAAGAGCCCCTAAAGCATCACTCTTACCGTATAATGCATTTAAAATTAAAAGATTTGTACTAGTACCTTAAAACAGTTGGCAAAGTCACATTCAAAAGGTTTGAGAAATCTGTATACCATCTCCTTTAGTGTGTGGAGGATCAATATGACAGTACTATATCACCACTTGTAGCATATCTTTAATATTATAAAATTTGCAATTTAGAAGCTAGAAACTCAAGTCTGCCAAACTCGGGATATGGATCCAAAGAGGGTATAGTAGTCCAATTAACAGGAAGAAATTTGAAAAGCGTAGATTACTGAGCAAAAAGGATATTATTTCAGGCAAGAGAAGGAAGGCAGGAAACAAAACTGGCTTGGCAAGGACGATTTTATATTCGTTATCTTTAAAAATAATTCTGTCGTCTAGCAATTGAGCATAACTGTAGAGTAATCTATATTTCTTTGTCAGCAATAATTTCTGCTTCTGTATGGTGAATACATAAACTGTTTCACTGTGGTAGAATGACAGTACTGCAGTAAGTGCACCTACAGTATGTGCTATGCATTTCATGTCATATAACATGCTTCCTGCTTTATCTGGAAGTCTCTTCTTTGGATGTGCCAAAATCATGCAATGACTATTAGTATTAGTATGGAAAAAGGCAAAATAATAAGTATATGAATCATTAGTCTATGTAACAATTGTATTTAGACTCATGATAATATGTGACAGCTGCACCACAGCCCTAATCACTTTAGAACTAATTTTTAAGAAGCCGGTAAAGCGGCCAATGAAATTCTGAGATGCAGATCCATTTAAATATCCATAAACCTATGCACAATTTTGTATCAGCAGATTTTTTGTTTTTAAAATGTCCATTAAAGCAAAGCACCTAAAATACACAAATGAAATACATATGAATGTATTGCTTTATATGCTAAAAGAATTGTACCTTTATACAAGGAATCTTATAACTCGCACACAA